ACTGAATCGAACGCACTCTTGAAGTCGAGGAACACAGCTATTGTCGGTCTGCGGTATGCGTGGCGCTACTCTAGCACCTGCCGCAAAGTAAATATATGGTCTATACAGCCACGTCCTGGGCGAAAACCGGCCTGCTCTTCCCTAATCCGAGATTCCCGTTCTGCAGTGAGGCGACGAACGATAATCGAGGCCAGTAATTTTGTCACAACTGGCGTTAGGCTAATACCTCTGTGGTTCGCACAGTCTGTGCGACTGCCCTTCTTGTATATTGCCACAATAATCGATTCGCTCCAATTAGCTGGCACACTCTCTTCGTTCCAGATACGTTCGAATAGGGAGGTCAGTGCCCTGCAGAGGACCTCACCTCCATCCTTAAATAGTGCATGTGGGAGGGAATCCGGGCCAGCGGCACGAAAACGATTAAGGGCTGTGATCGCGTTTCGGACCTCGGCTTCCAACGGAGGCTCTAAGCTAACCGTCCATGGCTCGTCCTGCATCACCTGAGTAGGAAGAGGTCCGGGAGCAGAGGGCCAGCTGAACTGATCTTCAAAGTGTTCAGCCCAACGAGCCATACGGCGCTCCTTATTGTGTATCAGCGCACCCGCGCTGTCTCTGATTGTCTCACTGACGTCTGGTTTTCTGGGACCAGTGGTGTGGATTAGCTGGAAGAGCTTGCGGTAATTGCCTACTGCTCCTGCCTCCTCCATTTCTTGAGCCCGACTGGTCCACCAGGCTTCCTTGTCAGCACGTAGGCTCCGCTTTAGTTCATGCCTAATAGCCCGTCTGGTCACATTGTGTTCAGAACCAGCCGGGAGGTGTCTTTTAGCTTCCAACAGGTTCACCGACCTCTCGGATATCCAGTGACTGGTGCAGTGACGACTGATAGTGCCACAAGCAGATGCTCCTGCGTCGTGCATGGCGGCCGAGATCCTATTCCACTGAAGTTCAGTGTCATTAGGACAAGACAGCGAGAGTTCGTTATGCAGTGCTTCTTGATAGGCTTGCCTGACCGAGGACTGAGACAATTTCTCCGTTGCCAATCGGGGGAAACGCTTTATGCGCCTTCCTTTAAAGTTCATGGAGAAACGACAGCGCACCAAGGCATGATCAGAGTCGACACAAGTACTCCAGTACGAGCGGCAATCCAGCATGGAACCGCGCCACCTGTAACTTAAGGCTATGTGGTCAATTTGGGTCCATCGCTGGCCAGCTACAGGTGGACGCCAAGTGGCACTTCGGCACCCACTGTGTCTAAAAGCAGTGCTAATAAGAAACAACTGGTGTTCCGCACACAGTTGCAGCAGACGCTCGCCGTTGTCAGTCCGTTCGGAGTTAAGTCCATAATTACCACCGAGCTGAGCTTCTGAAGAGCTCAGACGCCCTACTTGTGCGTTCATATCCCCTGCAAGTACTATAATTTCTGAACTAGTAGTACCGCGTAGCAGCGTGTTCAGTTCGTGATGGAAAGTGTCCTTGACTGCATTAGAACTGCAGTCGGTGGGAGCATAAGCAGAAATCACAAACAAACAGCGTTCTGTTTTACTTCGCGAATTCACCTTAGCTGATGTCGTCAAACGAGCTGCACATAAACGGCTGTTCACCGGAATCCAATCAACCAACGATGACTCAGCCTTGCAGCTGAGAATGATACTTACACCAGCTTGACCCGTGAGTGCCGGATGCGTGCAACCAATAACGAGAGGATAAGCCGGGTGCCCTCAATTCAATAACCCCTTTAGGGTCATTAATCCTAGTTTCGGACACACAACACACATCAACACCCAGTGTATCCAAGGTGCGTGCGAGTGCAGCCTGCTGACCTGTTTGTCTTAGAGTGCGGACGTTGAATGTCGCCATGGAAACGGGAGAGCGTGGCCTTATAAGGGACTTTTGCCGATAGGCGTCCGATAGGTGCTTTGGGATGGTGGCTGCAGATGGTACTACTCCAGTAGCACTTCGGTTGCTGTCAATTAAGCTGGGAATTATAGAAGGAAGGTTAGTAATAGGGGTCGGGTTGGGAGTAAGAGAAAAAGGTGGAAAAGAAAGAAGGGAGGCGCCAGCAGTAGCATGTTTTCGCTTATCCACCCTGCTGTATGCAGCAGATAAGGCGACGCTTGATAATCTGCACGACGGCCGATGCAGGATGAAGTTTATGTTTGAAGAAAATGTCATGGTTGTATGTGGGCTGGGATACTGCCAGGGCGCCCAGACGTAGACAGGAAAGCGATTAGGGTCCTCATCCAAAGCCTTTGGCTCAAAAGCCTGTCCGCAAGGCAGGGGGTGGCAGTGATTTAGTTTCACAGAAATGGACGCCATCCCATTTCAAACCCCCAACCTTGAGGACCAGGAGACTGAGTTTGTCTGACCTCTCACCATTGACCAACCTGGTAGGAGTAGCTCTCAAGATGCTAGGAGGCATCATATATATATATATATATACATATATATATATATATATATATATATATATATATATATATATATATATGAATTGGCGGCATCCGTGTCTGGATTCACCTGTCACTTTACTCTCCATAGGACAGCCACAGGACGCCTGCACCTACAGAGGGGCCATGGTTGGCTTGCGATGCCCCACCCATATCTCGTGTAAGGCCGAAGGAATAAAACCGGGCTGCATGTGGATGGGAGCCACCTTTCATCAACGGAGCCGACCCGCACTCCTTCAACAAGCGAAGCAGAAGCATTTATGCTTACTTGGGAAATCATGCATACCAGGCGTGCACAAGATGGTGACTAGGCCATAGTCCGCTCCACACTCAGTGCATAGAACCACTATTTGAGCCTAGCACTTCCGCGAGGACCGTACACGCCATCCGCTCCCGCAACGACTAACTGTCTTTTGAATCTGGTATATTTGACAACGCCTGAGCCCACGGCGAGACCATGGATGGCTTGCGCTGCACCACCCTCAGCTCCATCCACACTCCACATATCCAGTGTAGACCAGATGGAATAAAGCTGGTAGGTATGTGGATTGGGGTCGCGTTTGTTTCGAAGCCGCTACACATTCCCACACTACGCTTGTCATTCAGGACTAATAGGGGGAAGTATTAATTCTGAACGGATACATGGTGATAAGCTGAGTTCTTTTCCTCTCCCTGATTCACTTAACGACTCTTTGGGCCTAGCATCGTCGCGAAGACTGTGCCCCCAGTGTTCTCTAGTCTGCAGTCTTTGAGACGGCTGTTTGCGATGCCTTGGCACCTCAGCAGCATTCGCATCGAGCGCAGCGAAAGCTTTTGTTCTCTCCGTTATTGTGTACCTTAACGAAGCTTTTCTCGTCATCAGCAGTAGTGTTTCATGCATTTTAACTAATTGTTTGCTATCGTATATGCAGGGTCACCTAGAGAATGAAGAATATTAAGGGGAAAGTAAGTGATGATTACTTTGACCTAAACACCCAAAGCAAACACTTAGCATGAGGTTGACTACCCGTTTATCGACAATAGCCCATCGCAAACTGTTGTCTCTTGTGCGAAAATAAAGCGGTATCGACGATATAGTTTTCTTGCGGTCTTCTCTGCTCTGTGTCGTAATCAGTCTCACCTAGTCCGTGACAAGATGTAATAATCAGAGCGTGACTTGTACCGCTCATGAAGTAGGTCCTGTCCTTACGTGGAGGGAACAATCGGGAAAGGATACTGAGACGTGGTTGGGTGACCGCAGCCACCGGATACTGTCACCAATAGGCGTTATTATTATTCACTTGCTCAACTGCTTCCTTGTGGTGCCCGGCGATTGGTTCCGGTTTATCCGCTTCTAGAAATTGGTTCGGTGGCAGTGTTTCGGAAAGTGGTGGATGTTCGTTTGGTAAGCGTCCTCCTAAAAGGCCGGTCAATCGTTGCATCCCGCGCCTTTTGTGCGAGACCTCGGTGTACTCTCACGCTACGACGTAAAGCCCGTGGACAACACGAATTGGGTTTACCAAAACGGCCTTCGTATGCTTTGAGTGCTCAGGCGCAGCTTCAGCATCTGATCCGAAGAGATTCCTACTCGCCTCTTAGTCATAGTACTACGACCTATGGTAGAGTATGGCTCTGCCACGTATTGTCCTATCACCCGGGGCAACCGCAGCATGTGGCCACCAGGCTGATCCCCAATTCCGTGTGCCGTACGAAGACCGGTGTAAGAAACTAGGGCTTTACACCCTATCTTATCGTCGACTGCGGGTTGACCTTCTCATGTTGAAGCCGCTACTGCATCTGCGCTCACCAAGCGGCGCACGAGGATTCCGGTACATGGTTGTAGTACCGGATTTGCGGTGGGTCGTCCACCAACTCCGTTTCGAACGGAGAGTGGTGCATTGATGGAACAACCTGCTGCAGCACGTTGTTGAGGCAAAGTCGGTGTCGGAATTTAAGCAATTCCTGGACAAACACTGCCGATTTAAAATATATCCAGCGCACTCCAACATAACGGGTTCTGGTACCTAAATGATATTAGATGCAACTACACAAAGATATCTCTTGTTGCTTCTGACTGGTAATAAGGCCACAAATGTTCGCTGCAACATGGCGGATGTGACTCGCCACTACCCCTTGTCTCAATTCGATGGAGAATTAAATTTCAGAGGATAGATGCAGGGTGTATTCGGCCCCAGTTTGACCATTCACTATACTAAAGGCGTATAACTAAAAAACTCGGTCACCGTCCATAACTGGGTGCTGTTACCTAACTTTGCTCTACTGTTTTGCGGGTAGGCTTGGGGTATTATCCCCTAAGGCAAAATCGTACTTCGACTTGGTAAACTGTGTGGTGTCATTCCCACTGTAGCAATCATGACATGTTCTGCATTATACTCTGTTTCCTTTTTACGAAAACTGTACGCCCTCTGATTTCCATGGTTTTTAAATAGCACCATGTCTGTTCATCATACTGCTGCAAACATCTGTGTCCTTACATTTACATGCAGTTTTTTGTATTTCTCTCGCCATGTTACTGTCTACGGTTGTTTTTTTGCTTGTTCCTCCGCTTCTCAGCTCCTCACCAGCCTCGTCTAGATTGGCAAATGTGGTTCGCGGCACTTGGTCACCCCGATCATCACCCATGGCTGTACCATCTGATTTACCGCTTACTGCAACAAGAACCAGACGGTTGGTTAAACTTACGTTTTTGTGGTCATCAGTTCTGGTTTCTCTATTTACAACGTACTGTGTTCTCACTTCTACGCTGCTTGGCTAGCCAGTCCGAATCGATCAAACTTGACTCATGCGTATTGCAGCGATACTAGTATTTCGGTGCTCGGTGCCGAAATTGAAGTTTCACGCATCGGACTTCGTTGTTTCTCAGTCGACTTAAAACACATTAGCCCAAATCCCGCTACTTCCTGTGATTTGTCTTAATTTTAAAGAACGCCTTTGCATCTACACATTACAGCGTTACTTGATGATCTATTGTCCGCAGCCCGAATCGCAGTTCATAACGCGCGCGTGTGTGTGTGATGTCTTCCGGATGGATTCGCCCGAGTCACTTAGAGTTTGGGCACCTGCGTCCGCACCATTGTCGTGGATCGTGACCGCCGCCTCAACCTGTCCCTTGACGCATAAGCATGTACTGGTAGAACCGCACCTCAAAACCTTTGTGTGTGTGTCATTGACTTGCTAGGAGTTCGGTGTGCCATCGCATGCTCATTAGTTCAGCGCAAGGACTAACTCTCCATCGGTTGGGTGTCGCCCATCTCCGTTCCTCCAGTGGTTCGATGACACTACTGCATCACGTCGGGCCGAACCGATGTCTGCCAAATGGCGTCGTGTGTGAGCGTGGATGAAATGTGCCATGTGCCGCTCTTCGATCAACGACAAGACGAGTCGTGCACGATCATTGTCCTCAGATGGGAAGGTATCAGCATCACGCTGGTGTGCACTACCGACGCTTCGCTGCTGCGCAACCACCACCGGTTGCACATGGGCTGAGGATACTGCGAGGGTCACCCGGCCCTATGCAGATTACAAGACAAGCTTGTTACCTTTAGGCTACGGGCCCGAGTCAATTGTGTTAGAAGCGTCAACAATTCACGTGACTTTGAACGAATTCGACAGGACTAAGACCAGTGTTGCTCTACGTACTATTTGGCTGCATTGGAGAATCGAGTTGAACACAAACCTTAACGCCTTCCGCATGACAAATATATTGACAATTCTTTGCTAAGAAAAATACGAGGAGATGCTGGGTAGACTTGAGAGGAGCAGCCGAACGGCACAGCCGAGGAGTCAAATTGATCAAAACCACGGGAACACTGTGACGAATTGCCGGTAGATTAATTCACAGTTTGAAGGTACGGGTTGGCATTGCATGAAGCCACATGTTTCTGCATATCATTTGTGTTTGTGCGCTCACACCAAAACGATGCTCCGAGGAGCAGGAAGCAGAACGAACGAAGACGACGGAAACACGTTTATCCATCTATGAGCGAACACAAATGGAACAGGTTTGGCATACATAAATACAGGAGATTGGACGATGATAAACAGTATGTTTGTTCACTCGTTCATCCAGCGATTATTCGATCTGTGCACAATTCTAAGGGCAATTGGCAAGCACGTTGCATGTAGCGCTCAGTCCAAATCTTCTGGCTTGGTTTCTGTTACGTCACAATTCACGCATTCAAACCACATTCCAAGTGGACTCCACTGATAGGTCACCAACCTAAAGGTTTTAAACCAGATGTGTATTTGTGCTTCTTTGATTCACGTCTTTTTTACTCCTTAATGCGTGGGGGATTTTGAGGTGACTGTACTTTTTGTTCATCGCAGTGTCTTCCGAGTCAGGTGGCTTACGACGCATCTGGAAAACTACCAGACGGCCTTTTGTTCTGTTGGGCCCACCGGTAGTTCACATTCTGCGACTACATAAGGAGCCGAGCCCATGACTTTCGCACACTAGCGACTTGTGCCACTAGGCCACGGACGATGGCTAAAGACCATCATGACGTATAAACTGTCTGTGATATAGCGCAACTCATCCTCCATTGTCATGTAACTTACGAACGTTGCAGTGGGCACGGTTGGCCCTTTGAGTCATGACTTCCGACAACAGCAGCTGTGTACGATATAGCATGTAGAACCTGTTAGTGTGAATCTTTTAATTACTAATGAGTATCGGATTATGTCCTTATTGTATCGAGAGTTAGTCACTTCGGCTTCCAAGTCTGATGACTTATCGTGCATCCGAAAAGCGCTGGTCGGCCGGTTCGTCTGCGATGCTAATCGAAGTTGTTTTACGAGTAGTGGGTGGGGGTTGGCGAATAACATCTGAATGGTCGACGTATGGTTGGCGTCTGTACCCGCTCCGTAACCCACGTCTAACTAGAATTGGAGCGCATGTTGATAACGCGTTTGCCTCGATTACTTAATAGCTCCAGTAGGCTGCTGATCATTGCTTGGTGAGGCAGAGTGTTAATCGTTCCTTCTTGAAACATTTCGTCGGTCGATTTCTTTCGGGAGAATGAAGATCTAATCGTGTTTAGGTCGAACGGGGCTTCGTTTCTTGCACAGACAAACCGGGTTTTTCTGATGATTTCGATTGTACAGCAGCATCAACGTTTGCTTTGTCTTTACTAGCGAAAGCAAGTCGACCTGGAGCTTCTGATACCATAGTACACCTTTCAATTCGGTGCTCCTTTCTAACCTCTTAGTTGAGCTGGGAAAAAACACTACCCTCTTACGCCCACCATTTCGCACCGTGTGCTGCAAATTAGTTATCAGACCTGTGCGTTTCTAGCCAGTGACTTGCAGTTTCACCGTCCCTGGTAACCTGAATTATTTATCGGCTAATCCCCTAGTAACAAAACCGAATTCCGAACTAAGCGGTGCTTGATTTTCCCATATCTTTCATGTTCGTCGGCATGTTACTGAGTGCACTCGCTTTCCAAAGTCCACGAAACTTGCCTACTTGTGCTGATTGGGAGCTTTGTGAGGACTTTCACTTTTAGTCCCCATTTCCTTTTGTGCTGCTTCCATGGTTCATGTTTCTGGTTCATCTTGTAAGTGGAGAGACAGACTATTGTTTTTGCACATGTTTTACACATGTTATCCACAACAGTTGCTCGTCATCTGCTATCTGTCTTGCATTTTTTCCTCAGTGTTGGGTCTTTTGGATTCTTCCAAATTGCCTCGGAACCCAAAGTTCATTCGAGCGAAGCTTTACACCTATCACTACACTTCTCCAACTGAGTACGTTCTCTCAGTCTTGACATCATTTTTATCGTAACCCCGTTTCTCTCTTCCTCAGCACTTTCGTTATCCTATTTGGACTCGCTCATGATAATTCTTTTGAGACATCCTACTAAAAGTACAAGTGTTTCACCGGCTTGATGTGTTCAAGTTGTGCGTCAATTTTCTTCCATGTTTTCATCTGATGCAATTGTTATTATTTTGTATGCATGATAATAGTATGATGTTGTTGATGGCGGCGTCGAATATTTGCGTTACCTGAGCAATTTTTGATCCATTGAGGTATATCATGTGTATGCTTATCTGTTTGACCTCAAGTAACACACGGACGGTAGCTACCATATTGGGTAACCGTTAGGGTCTCATTAACGCGGAATACTAGTAGGAGCGTAGGAGGAAGGATTTGTCACTAAACCTTACTGTTTGGGAAAACCTTTGAGGTCAGTGCTCCCACACTATGCCAACGCCGCACGTTCACTAACAGTTGGCTGCCGCGCGAAAACAGGACCTCGCCGCCGAGGTGACCTTCATCACCCGCGTCATAGTCAACGTTGCACCACAGCGAAGTTACTATCAGCCACAGGTTGTCCGATTGAGAGAGACGATCGCTAACGCACCACTGATACTGGTCCTGAGTCAACTGCAACGTGGGCCGTGACACTTCCACTTTGGTAGGATTGTCAACACCCAAGTCCAGTGAACGGTTGCTTCGTTTTCTTCTACCAAGTCCGTGGTTTCCTCCCTTGAGCCATACACGACCCTAGGCCTTGGAATCTTAATATCGCCCTTTACTAAACGCATACCAAGGCCAACGCAGTGGTCTGCGCGCCTCATCAGACAAACTAATGCCACTGGGCACAAGCGATGCTTTGCAGTTGTGCTGTCAACGGTTTGAATGCGTCTCTTATCCTCCAGTTGGAGACGCTACGTCTCACCGTCGTCGTGGAGAATAATTCCCACCGTCGTCCTGTAAACATGCTCCCCAGAACATGAGAGTTCCCTTTCTGACACTCTAAGTGTCGCTTACTATCATTAATTAGTTATCTGTCTGATCCTTCTGGCGCTCTCTTTTGAGGAATTCGGAGGGTGCGAGGCCATCTAATTTTGCAGATGGTAGCCGGTTCGTCAACCACTGTTCCTATGAACCGGTTTGACAATGGGCACCATCTCATCGGCATGATTCCTCTGGGGAACTCTCCCTCAATATTTCAGCCCGGTACCACACATTACGTTTCCACATTTAGCCGAGCTTGCTGGGCGCCGTAAATTGTCCGTACTTGTCGTTCGGCCTACTATTCATTCCAATTGTATTCTACCCTGTTGTATCATTACCTTTTATTCATAATATATTATAGTGACATCATAATAATGTTGGAAATTAGTGTAGCAGTAGTACAATGCTAGTACTTGTGTAGTACCAACAGTGCAATTATGCATTTGTATAGCGCAGTCTTCTAGAATTATTCTAATTTAGCAATGCTTCACCATTGTATTACACTTTTACCGTATTATTTGCCACTGTAGCCACGATTGCTCCACACTCAGAAGCTGTGGAGGGGTGTTCTGAATGAATTGCAAAATGTTGTTTACTAGATCTTGCCAAGCATGCTGTGCGACTATCGGCTATACCATCTCTAACTTGGCGCAATCCACAGAATCGGTTGTGCAGGCGCCTACTCTCTGTTTCTCCTTCGAACAAACATCACACATGCGAGGCGAGCAAACAGAATGTACCGCACTACAGTGCGCAATTTATCTTTGTGATCACCTGAGCCGAATTATTACTTTATCGACTTGTTGCTCGAGTTGCACGATCGTTTTTAGCTCCGCCCGTCTTTTTGGTTGTATGCAGGCGGATAGCTGAGCACTTTTTCCATCGCTTTGCCGCCCTTTTCAAACGAGTACTCCTTCCGGGTTTGATAAATGTGCACTTACGTGATCAGCTTACTTCGTCGCCTGAGTTATTCCATATTCTTCATTGACACATTCCTATCATTTAGGTAATTCCGCTCGTTCGGATTAACACGTATAAGAATCAACCACTCACAGCCTTCCTTCCGCGTTTGCTGCTTAGTCGGCATTCCACAGTGCTGACTCCGTCACGACGAGACTGCATCTTAACGGGGTTCGGCGGTTTACGTACCTCGTCGACCCATTGAGCCATATTGTGTGGGGCCCTTGAACCTCTTAAGTGCTATTCCTACCAGGTTAGTCAGACGAACTCAGTCTCCTGGTCCTCCAGGTTGGGGTTTTGAATTGGGATAACGTCCATTTCTGTAAAACCGGTTCGTTGCCATATCTGCTGCCTTGTGGACAGGCTTTTGAGCCAAAGGCTTTGGTTGAGGACCCTAATAGTACTTCCGTCTAGGTTTAGACGCCCTGGCAGTATCTCAGTCCCCGTACAACCAGGGCTATTTCATCAAACTTTAACTGCATCCGACGTCGCGCAGAGTATCAAGGGTTGCCTTACAGTAAGGCGGTTAAGCGAAAACATGCTACTGCTGGCGCCTCTCTTCTTTCTTCTCAAACCGTTTCTCTTACTTCTCTCCCAGTCCCCATTACTAGCCTTCCTCCTACAATTCCTAGTTTACTTGACAGCAACCGCAATATCATCGGAGTCATACCATCTGCAGCTCTGATCCCGCACCACCTACTGCACACCAATCGCCAACAGCTGCTTATAACTCCACACTGTCCCGTTTCCCTGGCGGCGTTTAACGTTCGCATTAAGATGAATAGGTCAACAGACTGCACTCGCACTCACGTTAGACACGCCTGGTATTGACGTGTTTTGTGTGTCCGAAACTAAGATCAATGAAACTCACAGGGTTATTGAATTAACTACGCCCGGTTTGTCCTCTCGCTATTGCTTTCACGCATCCGGAGACGCTGATGCGGCAACCCAATGGTCGACCTAGAGTGGACATTGTTCTCAGCTCCTCGGCCGAGCCATCGTTGGTTGATTGGGATCCTGTGAGCAGCCGTTTATGTGCAGTCCGTTTGATGACATCAACTAGGGTTAATTCACGGAGTAGCACTAGACGCTGTTTGTTTGTGGTTCCCGCTTATGCCCCCACCGATTGTAGCTGGGATGCTGCAAAGAACACTCGGCCAGGAACTGAACACGCTACTACGACGTGTTACCAGTTCTGATCTCATAGTTCTTTTAGGGGATATGAATTGCGCTTTGTTAGTTGGTAAGTATGGACTTAACTCCGAACAGACGGACAACGGCGAGCGTCTGCTACAGCTATGTACGGAGCACCAGGTGTTTCTTAGTAGCACCGCTTTTAGACACAATGGACTCCGAAGTGCCACTTAGTGTCCTCCTGTATCTGACCAGCGATGGACCCAAATAGATCACGTTGCCATAAGTTACAGATGGTATGATTTTGTCCTGGATTGTCGCCCTTACTGGAGTACTTGCGTTGACTGTGATCATGCCTTAGTACGCTGTCGTTTTTCCATGACCTTTACCGGGAGGCGTACCTAGCGCCTCCCACGATTCACAACTTGGAAGTTATGTCGTTTCTTGGTCAGGCAAGCCTACCAGGTGGATGCCCTGCGTACCGAACATTTGCTCTCTTGCCGTAATGACACTAAGCATCAATGGTAGAGGATCTCCTCCGCCATACAACATGCAGAAGCCTCCGCTTGCGGCACTATCAGTTCTCACTGCACCAGTCACTGGATCTCCGAGATGTCAGTGAACCTGTTGTAACCCAGAAGAAAACTCTCGGTTGGCTCTGAGCACAGTGTAACCAGACGGACTCTTTAGCGCTACCCAAAGTAGCGCCTGTATCCTGACAAGGAAGCCTAGTGAACCAGTCGGACTGAAGAACTGGATGAAGCAGCAGCAGTAGGCAATTATCGGAAGCTCTCCCAGTTGCTCCGCACCACTGATTCCAGGATACCGGATATCAGGCGTCAGTGAAACAATCGGAGACGGCGCGGATGCACTGATGCACAATAAGGAGCGCCGTATGGCTCTGTGCGGAGCACTTGCTAGTTCATTTCTGTTGTACCCCTGCTTCTGGACCTCTTTCTACTCAGGTGTTGCAGGCTGAGCTATGGCCATTTAGTTTAAAGACTCCATCGGAGACTGAGGTCCGAAACGCGATTGCAGCCCTTAATCGTTTCCGCGCTGCTGGCACGGATTCGCCCGCACTCGCACTGTTTAAGGATGTAGGTGATGTCTCTGCAATGCACTGACTTCCCTATTCGAACGTATCTGGAAGGAAAAGTGTCCCGGTTGATTGGAACGAATCGATTATAGTGGTGTTATACAAGAAGGGCAGCCGCACCAACTGTGCTAACCACAGTGTATTAGCCTAACACCAGTGGTCACAAAATTTTGGCCTTAATTCTCGTTTGTCGCCTCACTGCGGAGCGGGAATTCCGGACAAGATAAGAGAAGGCAGCTTCCCGCCGAGAACTTGACTCTACAGATCCTACATTCACTTCATGGCATGTGCTATAGCAGCGCCACGCATACAATAGCTGTGTTCCCCGATTCCAAGAGCTCCTTCGATTTTGTCGTTCGATGCATTCGGTTCGAAATACTTGCGCGGACAGTTGTTCCCATGAAATATGTGCACATTCTTCGTGCTCTATACTCGAACACGACAGGCCGCATCAGGGTCTACGGTGATTTGTCGGATATCTTTCCGACAACAAATGACGTTCGTCAACGTTGCCCTATCCCCCCATTTTTGTTCCACTTCGTGGTGTAATCCATCATGGCGTGTTCACTTGCGGAGCCTTACGATTCAGGCGTCGAGATACTGCCTGATGAGAAGCTAATTGATCTTGTTTATGCGGACGCTATTGTCCTGCTTTTTACCGATGTTTGTGCGGCGCAGTCTACCTTGAGTAACCTCTCTAGAGTGGTCCTATGATTTGGTATGCACTTCGCGCCTTCAAAGTGCTGTGCTAGGACCACCAGCCACTTGATGGCGAGGAACCCGAGGTAGTTGGCAGCTGTATCAGCAACGATATGTGCATGGCAACTGAAGTCAGTTCAAGCATTTCAAAAACTAAAACTGCCTTTTTTGGATTTGCGGCATCATTGGTGTCATAAAGAGATTCCCCTCTGTCTAAAATGTGTTTGCAAGGCCACAGTGAGGACCGTCTTACTCTATGGAAGCGCAACTTGGTCCCTCCGATCTGTGTACCTGTGACGCCTTCAATTCTGATTGTTGTTGTCTGCGAAGCATTGCTAGTGTCGGGTGACGCCAGCGTGTCCACAACGATGATGTGCGTAAGTGAGTACGACCCAGTGTTAACCAGGCCATTTTCTTTTAACAACATATAGCACTGAACAAGTTTCGTTGGCTTGGGCACATGCTACTTATTCCTGGTCGCCGTTTACCGAGGAAGGCCTTGTTTTGTTTACCAGATGTAGGATGGCGCAAGACCCGATGTGGGCAAAAATTAACTTGGCAGCGGGAAATGAAGGCATTCGGTACGTCGGTCCATCTCGCTTTCCTTGCTGCCGTCCACGTGACTCGCCTTGTGCTTGGTTGGAGACGTTACAGGATATTTTTCGCAGTCGACTCCAGTGGCGTGTCTGCTATCATCTCCTAGTCAGATTGCCTGTTTTATGTGTGTTTGGTGCTGAGTTATCTGTGGGGTATTGGCTGAGTATGACGCGGGGCAGTGAAAAGCACAAGGGAACTGTCTCGCCGATGCCGCCTTATGTATGCACGATAGCCAGCTGTCTGTGATCGTCTGTTGTTGACAAGGTGTAGGCTCCCTGATCCAGTGTTTGCTTAGGGCACTAAGGCTTTACGCCGCATCCCCCTTCTCTCCCTCATATTATCCTCCGTTCCGTAGGTCACTGTGGTTGTACGGCAGCGGAGCATCAGTTCAAATGGCTGATGTACTGCTGTTGATGATGATCATGACAGTGCTGACACCGTTTTTAAATACTGTGCTCCGGCGGTATTCAGCTATTTTGCGGTCGCAGAATGTCCATAACCTGAATAAACTGTCAACCGCTAGAACCGCCACATTCACTCAGGACCCATCGGTATAAGTCACCAAGTTGCAATTTGCATGGCTTTCGATTTGAGTCTCTCAAGGCTCAATAGAACTACAAGTTCTGCTACTGAGTTTCAACTTAGCGAAACAACCCCTTGGTGCATTTTCATAATCGTAGTGAACCTCTGTCACAAATCTCCATAAAAACCGTTACACTGCTGGCAACGATGCTTCATTTGCTACAACTCCGTTTGATGCCGGCATTCGTTGTAGTATAAAACATCTGCACATTTCTAGTGTCCATTTGCGGCTTCATCTACGTCTTTTTGCACACAAACTGTCCCCGATGTCTTTGTTTACAGCCGCAGTGGCAATTGGTGGCGCCGAGTCCACAAATCCATCTATCTGCCCCCCGTCTCACTGTCCTCTCCGTCACTGATCTCCGTAGTCCAGCACTCTGGCCTTGTCGGAAAACGCGTACGTCGTTGTTTTTCTTTACTTCCGCCTTTCAGTATTTATGTGTGCATCCATTATTCTCTATCCTCGATAGTGGCTGTTCATCATATTCCCCCTACTGCATGTGTTATGCCTTAGCTTATTTCTGAATGAAATGATGCATTTTTATCTTCGCTTCATGCACAAACCGTCTGAAGCCCATCACTGTTTGGTTAGCGTTGTTCCCTCCTTCTAAGACAATGTCAGCGTTTGGATTACGTCTGTTCATCTGTGCTTTGAGAGTCGGCAGTCAGAGCAGGACTGTTTCTTAAATTCATATCTGTCATCCATTAAAGATATCCTGTTTATTTCCTGTCTTCATCGCTTGCTCCCATCGCCATTCTGTGCCTTCTCTGCAAATGCTGATGAATTCCTCTGATTTTAACGTATCGCTCTTCCGGAATGTGAAAACATATATTTTCCCTAGGACGAGAGCGTAATAATATATCTATATGAAAACCTTGCGTGAATTCAAAGAGCTCTCTTCATGTCCGTCTCACAAATATTTTCAACCAGACATCCATTAGGATATCAGGCCTCGTCAGCAGTACGCACATTTATCGTTTGCAACCTGCCGTGACCTCGACCACTGGGCCACGGCAGGTACCGACAACCGCTAGACGAAGAAACAAGACATCAGCAATACGCCGGTACGCAATACCGACGCTACGCTGCCACGCAACCACCACCGGTCGCACGTGGGCTAAGAACACTGCGAAGAGTCGCCTAAGCCCTCCATGATAGGCTTGGCATCCTTAAAGCTATGGACCAACGACCAGTATGATCAAACGATAAGCTCTGATCTAACGCCGTTCAGTCGTCAAGTCAGGATAAGATAGGTACATTGTTAGCATTTTTCACGATCGACTGTGTACTGGTTAAAATGATATTATCGAAAATAGGAAACTTTCTGACTGGAAAAATTGTGTACATGGTGCACAAGTATCCTCTGTACATAGCGTCCCACATCCGTAGGCAACAATCGCGGGTCCTTTGAGAGAACTATCAGGTTCTATCTTGCTGACAGAGCAGCAACCTCTAGAGCCGGTTTACCAACCAGGACGGTGTTTCCATACTTGATAATTCGTTTGAATGTGTTTACAATTTTGTTACTAAAACTACCAAATCGGGTATTATGCGCCGGATCTGGAAATTTTTTAGATCGGCGGAGGACAGCATTGGTGACTTGGAGGTAGTATAAACGGAGACAGTGTCAAAATATTCCGAGAAAACTGTTGGATACTATGCAGTAGATTCTATGCTAAGCATGTTCCAATGAAAAGTTCAACGATCGATTTAAAGACCGCATGCATGGGACTAAACAGCGCTTTTCAACGGTCTACCGAAAGCGAGTCCATCCTCTGGAACTTTATATTCGTTTGGGAAAGGCCACTGTAAATGAACTAGTAATCGGGCTATTGTGGTCTCCTCTGATGATATACTCATCTTTTGCTTTGATTGTGGCACTTGATCTTACTCTGGACCGCGATCTACTTTGAGGTGAGCCCCGGTCAGTTCGATCGAGGGGATCGTATCTAAAACCGATACGTGTTACATCTTCGGAACACTATACTCCAATACCGGTATCATGCTTGTTCGTACTCATCAGGCAGGAAGATGGCGTAATTACGAATCGAGTTCAGAACGTGTAGCGACTATCCACGTTTGCGGCGCTATAGGCCTGGTGGTTTTACTAGCTCTTGTGGCCTCTACACGCCGATTTCGAGTTACCATCATGCCATATTCACTTGATGTCTGCGAACAGGCTCGAGACCGGTCGCACAGTCCTATGTTGCGAGCGAGCATCACCCACCAAGTAGTGCAGCGTTTGTGTTAGTTGTGCTCTTACCAACTAGACCGACAGTTATCGAGCTCATTTTTCTTGAATTGCTATTGTGATTTATTTGTTAACGTGCATTTTCTGAATGTTCACGGCCATCCGGTTGAGTCCATTTGGGATGGATCAGTACATTATATGATGTGCATCGATCATGCCATGCCAGTCGCTCACAATTTTGCTAATTTATCCAGGTAGATATCGACGCATCCGTTGTTACCAATGCGATGCAAACTGCAAACTGTTGTGTTGCTACATGAGGAATTAGATACTTTTCAGCTCCATGGAAAATCTGCGAAAGACGCCGATAGATCTCATGTGTGATTGGATGAATATTTGACTCACGATAACATCTGACCCGTAACGGAAAGATGCCGTTATCCGTAGGTGCCCGTTCTCTGAGTCGAAAAGTCGCGAAGTGCGGACATTAGCATTATTGAATTGCTGCACGAGTTTAGCCTCCACCATGTATTCTCATAGGCTGTTCCAAAAATTTACCACTTACTGCTCGAAATACAACCGGTGGCTAACGATTCAGCTTTGATACCGAGAGCTTGTACTTATGTGCGCCTGTGCCGCCTGGTAGTGGCAGATGGAGCAGCCGCATTAGCTTACAAGAGCTACCGACGTGTAACATTTAGGAGCTCCCGTGAGGTTGACTCTCACTCGACGAAAGGATAAGCTTTTCCTACGGTACGCTTCCTGCAATTGGGTTGAGCCGTGTTGCAGCACCTTAGATCCATTTGACCTTGTGCACCTCTTTCCGGACGGTCGACAAGTAGACGCATGAGCCGGACTCTAACATTCTTCTTATGATTTAGGAAAGCAAGTAAGTGACAACCTCTCCAAATCGAGCGCACAAGCTGCTTGAGAACCCAGCGCTTGTACAGTCCGTCACCATATGGCATGTACGTATTGTTCGCAGACTTCGCATCGCACTCGGCCGGTGGTCGCGTGGTCTGCGCGTTTGTTTTGCAACCATAAGGTCACCGGTTCGAATCCGCGTAGGGGTGAGCGTCCTCGCGGTATACTCAGCCCGCGCGCGACTGATGGTGGTCGCGCAGCAGCAAAGTGCCGTTACGGCGTACAGCTGACATTCACTTCACTCACTCACCTTCAGTGGAGATTACCTTCTTCATCTATTCTACCTGCAGTACCAGATACTGCCAACATAGTGCTTTATTCGGATGGGGCACGGCGTTGTTAGGAGAACTGCCCTTCTCATTTCGTCCTGGACTAATGTAGCCACAAGTACTTTTCGCACATTCCACCACCACTTGGCATAAACTGATTTGAAAAGCACGGAAAGAAGACGAAGACTGGTAGATGTATGCCTTTCGTATTGTCTACTCCGTTGCATTAGCAATGACCGATATGCATAGGTATAGGTAATAGTGGGTGCAACCAGGCAAGCTTGAGGTGCAGAACGAATAACGCAAGTTCACACCTACGTCCAAGGTAGCTTTAGTCTGACAAATAATTGTTTCTGAACACACAAGGCTGGCTTCATCCGGCTTAAAGTGGCAACCTCAGCAAAGCGAAGGAAGCGGGGATTAGTGTGACGTAAAACAACTTTAAACTCTGAGCTCAGCTTTACCAGCTTCACACCAGTGCGGTACAAACGGACAATTGTGAAGACTAGTTAGTCGTGCCAGACAATTTGTTCGGCCGACTGTCTGGACGATGAGCTAATTACGGCACCACTAATGGCGAACGGCTGTCCTCGAAGATTTATCGAAAAACATAGCCAACCGGGAGGGCCAAAGGACTTGGTGCACACCGCAGCCTTTCAAAGGTATTTAGCCGTGCTGAAGACAACCAAGCGTATAATTTCGGCTACCCAAGGAGCTTACTATGCTGCACAAGTTGTCGTCAACCGAACCCGAAATTTGCCCATACCTCCAACGATGGAAGCCCAGCCTATTGGGGCCAACTCACACTGTGTATAGCAATTTGTATGTGGCTGCGGAAAAAGTTACATTGGTAGAACTAATAGAACGAATTAAGGAACTTGTACCAAGATGGGTTCAACGTGAAGTGGCTCAGATTGCCTACCCTCGTCAGATTCCATGTTCGTGCAGACCGCCGGCTTCCTCGATAGGCAAACACCTGTTAGACTTGGGTCACCAGATAGAGCTGGGCTCAGCGTTTAAGGTTGTGATACGTCACACTAATCTGCGCTCCCTTCGGTTTGTTGAGGCTATCGCTATATCGGATGAAGCCAGCCTTGTGTGTTCAGAAACAAATATTTGCCAGTCTAAAGCTGCGTTGGACGTACGTGTGAACTTCGTCATTCGTTCTACACCTCAAGCTTGTCTGGTTGCACCCATCGTTAGCTATATCTATGCATATCGGTTATTGTTAGTGGTACTGAGGTGACAATATGAAAGGCATACATCTACGAACAAAAATACATCTACCAGTCTTCGTCTTCTTTCCGTGCTTTTCAAATTGCTGAAGGGAACTAACTGCTTTAAATTTCATAAACTTTCCTCGCTGCTACGATCAAGTGAAGAGAGAAAGAGAGAGCAAAGTGCTACGCATGCCTAGTAGGCTCCGGATTTCATACTGTCTTGGAGAAAGTAAGGCCTCTTAGGAAAACTAATTATTTTGATGGGTAAGCGACTTAAGCTAATGTTGTACGTCTGTGGCACCAAATCGTTTCAGCAACCTGCACATAATCCGAGGGCGGACCCCTTCTCCTTGGCTAGAAAAGCTGGTCTACCAATCAGGGCAGCTTTGACCTAGCTGTTCCGAAACACGACACGTGTACCTGTTTTCGGTAGCTACTTCTGCAACACGCTTTTGCCTCAAAGCGTTAACTTGGATTTGGAGCTAACAACAAATGAAACTAGATAAACCGGAACGGCATACAAGACGCAAATCTAACACATACGAACTCGAAGATCTGAGCTACTGGCGTGGCTCTCCAGATGTGATATACGTCTGAGCACGTCTGGATTAGATTAGTTCCATAAGACAAAGCTGTCGGCTTACCTGCTCTGATCCACTCTCCGTAACACATGCTTAACCATCCATGTTTCTCCATCCATGTTATTCTCCTTTGCAGCACCAACAGTCCGCGGATTCGACCCGACTATCCATGGCTTTGAAAAGTGTACGCGCTTACATGGGCCAACCGCCGGATCTTACACGCTTGATAGTCGTCTGTATAGTTCTATCGATCACAAAACGCGTCCTTTTGAATGCATCTGACGCTCCTTGAACTGTGACTATCCTTCTCTCGGCTTCATTCTGTCAATGTGGCTGCATCCAATCTAGTGCTAACATTCCCGTCGTCCACTACTTTGTCTGGAACCTTCACATTCGCTGTTTCGGTTTTCTCTCTGAGTCCGGTTGTAATCGTCTGTACCATTTGTCTTCATCTCTTGGTCGTGCCCAACGCTACACGGGTTGCTTGTTTTTTCACATCCAGTGTGGACACGCATTAGATTGCTTTTGGTGAAGCGTTTTAGCTATTGTCTGTGCTACCTCCCTGACAACGTGTGTTCCCATAGTGTGTCACTATCATCGCTCATCTTTTAATGCTTTAATCAAGTGGCATGTTATGTCACAAATCAATGGTTTTCTTCATTATCCGTTTTTCTGATAATTGTACCTTATTTTTTCGTTCTGAGCACCCTGGACGTAAGCTGTCTGATCATCATTTTCCCTGTTTTCCAAGCCTAAATCTGATGGTTGCCACCGGCTTCGCGTGTCGGCGTGGTATTCTATTTTATGTATAACAACTTTTTTTAATGCCATCTTACTGAGACTTATAATCCCACGTGTCTGCAAAAATTGAGACGCTTTTTTACCTGGCCTTGCTGTCGTTACACGTGGGGCCCTTCGATTACCGTTCCTCCTAAGAAGTCGTCGTGCCTATCCTTCCTGTTTGTGATCGTCGCCCCATGGCTTAAATTCAATATTTGACTTCACTCCCGCTTTGTCTGAAGCGACGACTAAATTTGGTGTCTTTGGTTCATAATGCCGTTCTGCCTAACGCTTGTTGATCCTACCGTCTTTTTGTAGCGTGTTCACTACTGAATTATCTGGGCTGACAACTACGCGGGTCAGCCGAAGCGGCTAGTATGCGCTCCACTGTGGAATCCTTATTCACTGGGGTGACCTTATTACTGTCTTCTTATAAGTAGCCCGCCTTTATTCCACGCTTGTCGCCGATCTATATAGGCCCGACTGTTGTAGTGAACCGCATCGCATATCAACGAATTTATCTGTCGACTGCTTCTCTTCCATTTTTCTATTATCATAAAAGTGTATGGGTATCGGTTTGTATCACTCAAGCGAATGAACTCACACTGCACGTACTGAGTATGTGCAAGTTACGGTTTTGGCTGTTGGTCCGATCAAATCGTACAAAGGGATCGCAAGTATGGTTAATTCTTCAAGTAAACGGACACACGTGTGATCATGATTCGGCGAGACATACCCCAGTTAACGTGGTCATTTACACGAAAAGCGGTGCATTGGTCACCTGTTAGTTGCTAGTTTCCAGATATTGTGAAGTAGCGATTTTGTGTGTATGAGTGACAACTTGGTATATAATTGGCCTGTGGTGTTGTCTGTCATTGTAGCTAAACGGGGAATGAAGTGCTGCAGGCGTGGGCGGTGTGAGCTGGAAGGATTGTTGTGTTTCTTCAACGCACTACTTATTTGTATGCAGATAAAACGCCAATCAGCCAGACGGATACAGAGATTTTTTCGCACGAGTCTCAGAGGAGGGAACAGGTTGGAAAAATATGACAGTGAACAGTTTTATCGATATAGAAGCAGAAAAACTGCTTTGGTGGTGTCAGTTTCAACCTATCCAATACATCGTAGGTGGGTAGATATGACGAAAGTTCGTGCTAATGTTTTCTGTAACATACAATGAGTAAACTGTGGTGTGGGAGACGTGCATGTTAGCTGTTTCATATCGTTACACTGCGAGACGCATTTCGACTTTGTTTGACTTCATCAGGTAGGGACAGCAGGCCTCGAACTCGGGACCCCTAGAGTGTTAGCCTAACCCACCACTACCTTTTCGGCCACCGAGTCACTAATGGCAATGCTTGACACAACGCTTAATGACTGAATGGGAGGTCATTTTTGGGTATACGTTGTATGAATGGATTGTGATGCTCAATCGCAATCCTGACCGTGATTCGCATTGAAGTGAAGCTTTGTAAATTCGATACTTAAGACAGCCGTGACGCGGTGGCCGAAGAGGTAGAGGATTCGACTGGCATTCCAGGTTCGAGGCCTTCTATCTATACTGGATGAGATCCAGTAAGAGGGAAATGCGTCATAGCGTGCAGTGTTTTCGGGTGAGGAGCATCCAATTACCTTTTCCTTCATCAGATACAGCCCTAGTGATCGAATTGACGAGGTTCACTACAATACAAATCACGGTCTACATTAAGATTTCTCATCGCATAGAGTGTACTTCAAAATGACCCCCCGATGATTCATACCGTGTTCGAAGTGGTGATTCATTGGAATGGGTCTGGCCTGTATTCCTATAGATTGTCATTAGTTCCGCTAGTATTTCCATATTCGTTGCAGAGGTGGTAGTCAAAACTAGCTTAATGTGGCGTGAGACCAGTTACCTAGTACCTTAATGTCTCTTGGTTGTCTGTTTCATGTGTGTGCATATCTGTAATAAAAGCGGCAATGATGACCATCGGGAGGAGCGCTCGGTAGAATGATTAGAAAGATCAAAATTAAATGTTTCGGCTTTGCTTGATGATCGATACCGTAGGACCTTGCTACTTTCAATACAATTTGTTCGGTCTACTACCAAGAATGTTTACAGTCGAAACCGTGCGTTTAGATAGGTACTTTTGGCTCGCAGTTATAGAGGTATTTCTACTCCAAAAGTGAGCATGGATTGCGATTTGTCTGAACAAGCATCAACCGGTGCGACTGTATCTGTTGAGTGCATGCCATTGTGAATGGCGGTCGGTTTCGATGGATTTTCTCAGTTCTAATTTCGGCAACTGCTTCACCGCTGACAGGCTAGAGAATGGTAGGGAGTTTTCGGTATTTTCACAAATGTTCATCGCAGTTGGATACCGCCGAACAGCGAACACACAGCGGGAAGAACGCCGGACAGCCGCTTCCTCATGCTGGTACTCGGAAATTACGTTACCTACTGAATGCTGCTTGACTCCAAACAGCAACCCTACTTTTACAAGCCGGTGACCCACTGAGCCGTGGATGACAGTGGCGGAACGCCACAACTGATTACTGGCTAAACAATAAAGCACGACACAATCTCCATTTCCATATGCGTTACTGTAGCCATCATGCATGTCTAAGTGGCATAAGTCGCTGAGTGTGTAGCCATTCCTTCGGATCCAACAGGTTGTCCCGAACTCTAGAAATCAGCCCCGCTCGATAGGCCCCCCTTGGATTGATCGCAAACTGCGTCTCTTCATGAATTTAGCGCCGGAAACTACTGGACAAATTCATGTTCTCTGTAGTGATTGTAAATATTGTACTACTTGACATTTCTTATATTGTATTACCTATGATACTTAATAATATTGATCGCATAATCCGAAATTACAATTCGGTTGTTCTCCCTCTATATCGAAGCAAGCTTCGGGTGTAGCTGTGCGTTATCCCAGATTCTATAAGTACTACTCTAGATAAATCCAAATATTGAAATTCTGGATTTAAATTCTCTTGTCACTGCGCAATCTGCACCACCACTAGCGTCTTTGACCCCGGCCGAGCCTCAGGTTCAATGTTCCCCACCAATGGAAGACGCAGACTCGGAACCTACGAAATGCCGCTTCACTGGTCGCTCCGTGAATTTCTCAGAGCCTGTCTGTGAACTTCTGAACACCGAATATCCATGGACCACTCAAAAGTGCAAGGGACCACGTAATCGAGTTCAGGCGTACCCTGCTGATAAACAACAACCCAATCAGATAAGCACCTCTAGTTCTGCTACCACAGATTCATCACCGATTTCGCTGAGTCATCATAATCTCATGGTCTTCCACGTACCAGAGTCAAAAGATGAAAACCCTCAGATACGTTATGATCACGATGTTGAGTTCCTCCAGGAGCTCATCGATAGACTCTTGGATGTGGGCGAAGACAGTGTGACGATTAAACAAGTAATCCGACTTGGCCAGAAAACTAACCAGTCATGTCGACTTCTGAGAATCACCTTTGTAAATCACAATATGCTGCAGCTCATACTGTCTCGTCTGTCAAGGCTGAAGGGCATAAAAGTTCACATCCGCCGAGACTTGGAACCCGAAGACAGGGATCGTTTGCAGACTACGGTCATTGAGCTCAAACGCCGTACTGAAGAAGGTACGACTGACTTTCAAATTGTAAATTTACGGGTGATCAAGAAGGGTGTACGAACCTATATCAACCGGTTGCTCAACCTCCAGGCAGTCCCGTGGTACCTACCAGGACCTCCGTGTGGCATTCGCCAACATGTGCAGCCTAATGGACAAATGTGACGGATTGTGCCACTTCGCTGTCTCGGAGCAGCCGGACGTTTTAGGACTTGCAGAGACATGGCTGAACTCTGACACACCCCAAGAAGTCGCGTTGTCAGGATACTCTTGTTTCCGATGCGATCGGAAATCAAAGGCTCACGGTGGTGTTCTGTTGTACATTAAATCGTCACTATCTGCTAAACTTATCACCACCTCTCGGAGCGTGGACAATTTATGCGAGCAATTGTGGTGCACAATCTGCCTCAGATGCGCAAAATTAATAGTAGGTGCTATCTACCGTAGCCCATTAAACCGTTGTTGCGATTGGCTACCACATATACCGAAACACATGAGCCGCCCTCAGTTCTTGTTGATGGGGGATCTAAATTTACCTAAGATATTCTGGCCAGACCTTCGGCTTCTTCCCGGTCATGGCAACGTTGTGGCTCAATTCGCTAAAATGATTATTGAAACCGGGGCAACTCAACATGTCATCCAACCGACGCGCGTAACTCCGCACTTGGCATCTTGTCTGGACCTAATGTTTACGAGCTGCGAGCAGAAGCTGCACGAGATCAGAGTCCTCGAACCTCAGGCGAACAGTGACCACTGCTTCAGTATGGCATGCAGGAAACTGCCGTTACCGTAGTACAACCAACAGAAGCCGACATTCAACTATTGGAAGACGGACTTCAACGGGCTCGTCCAAGCTGCAAGTCAGACTGATTGGACACTACCACATGATGCGTCGCTTGAGGCCTGTTGGTCATTAATAAAAGGGAAGCTTAACTCGCTGTGTACCCGTTCCGTTCTTCTTAACTATTCAAAAATTGGACCTGTCAAACCGCATTGTTTTGCTACGGAATATCGACAGTTAGCGCGGCGGTGTCGCAAACTTTGGGATAGATACATCAGCTCGGGTTGTGATGAAGATTACACGGTATACAAGAGACAGCGAAACTAATGTAACGCCGCAAAGATCAAGGAACGTCGGCAGTTCGAAGAGGAGCTAGCATCCTCGGCCACAACTGCACCCAAAAGAATATTTGCCTACTTGAAACGTCAACTGAAA